TCTGCTGTTTGTCTCCCAGATACTGAAGCCTCTGACTGTATTCAGCATCCTCAGACAGATCTGGAAACTCTTCTTCTTTCTCTCTAACATTTGTTCTGGTCCAGAACGCTTTCATGATCTGATGTCCAGTAGGGTATGTATAAGTGCAGCTCATTATCACTGATGAGTCCTTTAGTGCACAGATGTGTGAAGGACTGTAACTCACACCCCAACCAGCACCAGAAACCCCTGAAACACAGAATTCAACAGGATGAAATTGTTGTTTTATCAGTTACACTGGGCCATAAAAACATGATAACTCTTTTACTTCTTGAAAACAGCAACTCTTTACAGAAAAAAAAGCTAATTTTCTCAGAATCTATTGAGTGATAAATGATGTGAAGTTCATCATCAGTCGCAGAAAAGCAGAAATAAAAGCACAGAGATCAAGGACTGAAAAATAACCAGGAAATCAGCCGTGAACAACATGCTGCACTATCAAATATTGAAAAACAACAATAAGAAAATAATCAAAGTTGATTTATTAAGTACCTAATGTGAGTTTTATGACTTCTTTGTCATCTCGAACCTCATCTATATGCTAGTGAACTCCTTTGACAATATTAACATATGCTCACTCACTTCCGAGAACATGAGCCAAAAATATTCACAATCTAGTGTTAGACAGATTTTTGGTCCAATCAGATGCTCTGAACAATGAGCACGTCCCTCCTAAACCACATGACACTGACTAGCAAATAACAGAAGACTACTGGATATTTATAAAAGGCACAAGCACTTTGACGTTTCTCAGCCAACTTCCTGTTTAAAAGGAAATATGTGAGAACAGGACAGAAGAAAGTGCTCATCAGCCGCTCATTGTGAGGCCTTAAATAAAATCATCAGAGTGTTTGTGATGTGAATGTAACAGAGACTCACCGTGAATCATGAGCAGAAAGATCAGAGGAAGACGAGGAGCCATTCTGACCCACATCAGCATCAAATATATCTATAATACAGCATTAATCAGCACTTATAATCATAACTTGTGCTGTATGTACATCAACCCATTCTTAACATTTCTCACGTTAAGACACGTATGTTATATGAGCAATAATCATCAGTTTTCATTGAAGTACGAGTGTGTTTGTCTTACCGTGTTGAAGCTCATCAGATCAGCAGCAGCTAAATGACTGACTCTTTTAACACATGCACTTTTAGACAGACTATTTGACTATTTGTGTGTTTTTATACCCAGCAGGTTATAATATCAGTGTCCCTCCCTCAACAAGTGAACAACATTACTGGACTAATGGACTAAAATGCACATCAGTGTAGATGTCAGGAGCAGGAGATGGTGACCTCTGGAAATATTTTGAGGATTTGTACAAACACATATGAGATGTTCACAAATTAAACTGATCACTTAAAGGAAACACAAAGACAGAATAACAGAAGCTTGTAAAATTGAGCACTTTGACCCCATAAAATGATACACTGTTCATTGTGAAGCTGCACTGTTATGATTTTGTTCAGTAGTTCAGGATAAAATGATCAATTATGATTTAAAAGCAGGAATATGTTGTGAAATAAGGAAGTGCTTGAATCCACAGTGAATGACTTCATCAGTTTAGATGGAGGATGTTTCACAAATAAACACACAGATACAGAAGTGTGAAAACAGAGCAAAGACATCAGCAGTGAACCACATGCTGCATTATCAAATAACCAAACACACGACATTTAAGACTATCGAGATAATCAATGTTGATTTAAAGACTCAATGACATCCAAATGTGAGTTGTGTAGCTTTTATTTAATGTCTATAAGCTCTGAGATCTTTCGTGTGCTACTAAAGTCACATAAACCTCTACCATGGCAGCATTCAACTGTTAGACACACTCTCGTATACATATAGGATGCTGCATCAAACTAATTCTTAAAGGAAGAAATGTAAATAACAAATCAACTCCATAGCAGATTCCAAGTGATCAAGAGCTTAGGATGTTCCAAATTCAGCCCATTGCAAGGGTTCGGCCAGTAGTGGGCACTCATGCAACATAATCAGTGACGTACATCTGAGTCAACGAGCTGGAAGGAAGTTACCGAGGGCTGAGTTCCAGTTCGTTTTGTATGCCCTTCACTTGCTAACTTCCCTCCGTCTCGTTTACTTAGATGTACGTCTTTGATTAGACTACATTGCACGAGTGCCCACTACTGGCTGAACCCTTGCAATGGGCTGAACTGGAACATCCTAAGCCCTTGATTACTAAGAATATGCTATGGAGTTGATCTGTTATTTAAATTTTTTTTACAGATGGTTAGACTCAAGGGGGCGATGGTCTGTGTCTGTCCTTATACACTTCCCTCGTCCACTTCATGAAGTAGAATGCATTTCAAAAGGGGAAGTGCTTAGGGACGTTTGTGAGTGTGTGTCTAAAAGTGAAGTGGAACGCAGCCGAGGAAAGGTCATGCAGCCCACATCTAAAACTGTCT